TGCCGGTGCCGGCCTCGGGTGTGCGGCGCATGCTTGGCCCCGCCCCCAGTCACGTGGCCTGTGAGCGGCCCCGCCCCCGTACGCCCAGCGCGTGAGCGGCCCCTCCCCCAGGTGCCCGGCAGCCTCAAAACGTTGGGGACCACTGATCTACATGTTTCGTTAGTTTATAAAGTGCTACCAGACCATTTGTTGTTTTTTCTGTAAAACTAACTCTGCTACCTTCAGAAGCTAACAGACCCTTGTTACCCTCCTCAAAGAGAGCATTCTTACCAACTTATCAAAGCAGAAAAACAATAGACACATTCTTATGAGAAGCAGTCAGTCTCCTCATTTTAAAAACAGGAGTGGTTTACAAGCCCCACTCATACTCATGCCTACAACAGCTTTCAGGTTTCTCAGACTTGCAATCAGTGAGAGTTGTGAAAGCAATCAAGACAAACAAACCCAATAATAATAAAGTGGAGTAATCTGCCCAACACATGTGCACATACAAAAAAGTGATTTCTTTCCCACCCCTTCTATCTACTTTTGACTTGTTGTGATTAACACTTTTTTTATATCTAACTAATCAAGGAGCATATCAGACTGCATATTACTCACTCCTTAGCAAGAAATAGAAAATCTAAGAAAGATAGAAGGCAGGATTGTCTTTGCTTAAACCTTTAGAGAAATCTGAAAGATTCTTCAGTGTATCTTTTGCAAGATAAAAGTGATTGAGACAAGAGTATCAGATGCAGAAAATACACAACACTAAAAAAAAGTTTACATACAAATCTTAGATCTAAGTTTTCCCATACTATGCACATCTATCCCCACCCACCGAAAATTCCTTTATGTAACACCTTCGTCCACTCAGACGGAATTAGATCCTAGGTGCTATTTACTACATAGAGATACATGTGCAGAAACACACAGAGGAACAGAATATAGTTTAAACATTTTTAGCCTCCTATGCCAATGCTTTTCTAGCCAGTCACCATGGGATAACTTAATGTGCATAAAGCAATGCCATGTATTAAGTAGATTAATCTTTATCCTTTTTTCCAAAATACTTTAAAGTCTTTAATGAAAACAAGCAATGATATTCAAGATATTTAAAAGTTTTTTTTAAGGTCTGAAACATCAGACTACAAAAAAAAATTACTGGATTAATAAATTAACTATTGAATGAATGAGATTGATAGGCTTTGTTTTTATGATACGGTCATAGATACAGTACCTTATTGATGCTTGTTTCACTGGGAAAGCTGACCTCAAACTCTGCACATACATACTTCTGAAGTTTCACTCAGGTACAAGGCAGCCAGGAGACAACAGGCAATGATAACTTCACTCAATTTAAACTTCCATGGATGGGGAAATATTTTCTCAAAATTTCCACCTTTGCTCAGGATGGTATTGGGTTTCTCTCTCTCTCCAAAACTAAACTTAATGAAACCTCATTATACTAAGGAAATATAGAGCAAACTAATTGCAAGGATAGTACAACAAGGAATAAATATAGTAGAAGATTGGCTCCAACTTCCAGGGCTGCCTCAATTGGTTTGCAAACTGAAGAGGACTGAGACAAGTGACAAATACCATTCAGGCTACAAGAAAGACACCTTAATTGTTTTGTTTAATTAGCCCATACAGGCACATCTCCAGTTAAGTGGGACAATGATGGAGTTCGGATTATATAAATAAAATCAATATGAGCTGTTCCTTACTTTCTAACCATTCTCTGCAAATATGAAGTACAAATGTGGCCTTGAGAAATTCATAATATTCAGTTTGATCTACAGCACTCAGATTTTATAATAGCTAAATGCATTTCTGCCTCATATCTATAGTTGGAAGAGGGTTTTTTTGGGGGAGGGAGAATCAGCTGGAATGAGATATAACATGGCATTCAAACTGGGTTAGTTATCTATACCTATTGGTGCCTGCTATCTCCTTTGAGTAGAGACAAATCTAAAAAGTGTGTGTATCAGTACACCAAACTTCTGGATGACAATCAGGTTATCAGTAGTACTTTCTAATGTCATCAAAGCATCATGAGTAATCCTTTTTTACTGAAACCCTCTGATTCACTAGGGCATTTTTTCAGATTCCTGTAGGTACCTCCAGCTATTCCAAATTTGCATTTCAAACTAATTTGGAATTTTCTGAAGAATTTCATTGTTGGCACTCCTCCAATCATTTCTCTTCACCTAAATGCAAAAATGCCCATTATGACACCAAAAATCTCAAAAGAACATTTGAAATTTGCAGGGTTAGAGAGTAGCTGATGGATTTTCTTCTGTAAGGACTGCTTCAGGGGAGTACCTGTATCATGTCAGTATAAGTACAGCTCTATTTTGGCTATCCAATCATAATTTTTATTTCTGCAACTGAAACAGCATTTGAGACTCCTAGAAGAAAAATTCTTATGAAGGCACAATGGGATATAAATATGAGATTTCAAAGGCATGCAGTAGGCTGCCATAAATATACAATGTATCTTCTTCCTTATCTATTCTAAAAACAATATTTTGCGTAGGCGCTAACAGCAGAATGATTTTGTCATACAGATAAAGATTAGGTCAAAATGAAATTCTTTATGAAGACAGAGAGAATTCAGGCCTGAAGAAAAAAGCCCATATATGAAAATAGCAAGAACTTCAAGTACATATGCTGAATAAACTAACTATTGAATATTTGAATTTATCATGTAATTTGCAATGCATAATGTGTTATGCTGCAAAATTGATAATAAATTATTGGAATTATGCATGTTCTTTTTCTTTCTATATAAAACCAAAATAATTCATGGCACAGTACACCCCCCTTTTTTGGAACTGAGTAATAACAAAAAGGTTAAACCTTTGACAATGTCATCTTAAAGGCTACACCAATCTGACTAGTTTTAAACATATTAACATTATCAGCAAAGAGACTGAAATGGCTCTTCATGAAGTAGATGTATCACACCCCCCACTAATCTCTTCACACACACTTCCCAAAAACTCTGATTTAAAACCATTATGTGCGTACATCTCTAGATTATAGTAATAGAATTTATGAGCATTTAACATAGTGTGTCTCTCTATATAAAAAAACGTTTTCCTGCGGGACGACAGAGTGATGTCATGTGTCACTCTGCGTGTCCCAAAGCCCCTCCCTCCACCACGCGGCCTCCCCCTTTCCCAGTGAAGCCATCAGCCACATGGCACCCCTCCCCTGTGCTCAGGGGAGCCACGGGAGCAGCAAGCCATGTGGCCTTTTCCCTTCCCCCATGTTGGGGGTGGTGGGACGGCCTAATCCCCCCCAGCAGCCAGGGAAGAGCCAAGCCTGGCCCAACCAGCCAGTGGCCTGGCTGTGCTGCAGCTTTGGCCTGGCCCAGCTTCTCCCCCTGTAGAGGGCCGGGGAGCCCAACCCCCTAGTGGCTGGGGGGACAGAACCAGGCCTGGCAAGACCGGGGGGAGGGAGTAGAGCTGGGGCTTGCATGGCCTTGCTCTCCCCTCTCCCCGCAGAGGGGGAGGGGAGCGCCAGGGCTGGCATGGCCTCAGCTCTGCATGGTGGGCGGGGACAGACCTGGACCTGGCCAGTTGCGCCTCAGTCCTGTCTTCCCTGGCCACCACAGTCTGGGCGGGGTCTGGCTTGGCATGCCACAGCTCAGCCTTCCCCAGCTGCAGAGCCAAACCTGGCGTGGCCTTGCCCAGGAGAGGGGTAGTTAGGGTTAGGCCATGGCAGAGAGGGGAGGGGACACAGAGAGAGAAAGGGCCCATGCTGGCCTGGCTAGGGATGGTGTGGGGAATGGGGGCAGGGAAGAAGGGGCCTGGGCTAGCGCAGCCTGGCCCTCCCTGGTGGCTGAGGGGAGAGCCGGGGTTACGTAACCCCTGTGGAGAGGGAGGTTGGCGAGCATAGCGAGCAGGGGGGATACTGCCCTCTAGTAACTTTTTAATCCTTAAAATACAGAAAACATTACAATGTAACTAGACAGGGTGAAGGGAAGCCCCCTGAAGAAAGCCCTTATCCTTGCTTAAAAGGAATTTTTTTTTTTGGAAGGAAACTAGAGAACCATCATCAAGTTAGCTAAGAAAAAGCTAATCCTCACTAACCTCATAACACACTAACTATGCATGGCCATGATAAAACCTATATGGAAATGTACTCTACCTCAGCAATCGGTTGCCCTTGCTGTGTTAAATCCAGTTCCTGAGGTCTTGTCATTTTATCAATATCCAAGGAGTCCATGCTGGATGCTGCAGAGGTTATGCTGGACCGGGAGGAGTTACTGATAGAGCGCACTTCAGCATCACTCACTGTGCCAGCTGATGCTGTCCTCCTGTGCTGAGCAATAACTACAGGTTTAGCATTTTCCATTACAGATTGCTGGGCTGCCTCATCCATGCTCAAAGAAGCCTTCTCCAACTGGGCAGTGATGTCATCCAGGGAAAAGTTGGCACTTGACGGCTTAGTTACCCTAACCGATGAAGAGGATGATCCTTTTATACTGCTGTGTTTAGAGAAAAGTCGACCCGCAGGTGGTTTCTGAGCTACTTTTGTTTCTGTGGCTAGGCGTTTCATTGCAGCACTGTTTGCTGACTGCGACCCAATGCTGCTGAGCTCCTGCTCTATGGAACAAAGATCGGCCATGAGGGCATCCAGATCCACAGTCTCCCCCTGATTAAGGGCTTCTGCAAGGAACAAAAGGCATTAGCTTGCTCATGATTAACCCATTTCTCAGTCCTCTTCTCCAAGCTGTGCCACTTTGCGATGGAAGAGTAGAAACAACACGGTAATGTCACCATTGTGAATCTACAGCACTCAGAATAAAAAGCTTTTAATATAATTTCAGAGATATGTTTATCAGCACAAATGTTAATAATGGAAGCCTATCATGTAAGTTAATTTCTTTCAAATTTACAGAAATGCTTAATAAGCTAGTACTACCTGGTTAAAAACCACCTCTGACATTTTTGAAGAAATACAGATGTGTTTTCTACACATTTTTCATTAATTTTATTATAAGATATGTGGCAAAATCCTCCCCACTGCTTTGAAAATCGAAACTCATTTTTTGAAATGCATATTGCAAGGGTCACAGATAATGAAAAACTGACAAACCTTTTCATAATATCAGGGTTTTTTGCGTTTTTGTTTAATCTAAATATTAGACCTAACTATTGCATTTCCCTTTCATGTGTAATCTTAAAATGAGATTTTCCCCCCCATTTCCTTCTAATGTGACTTAGGGAACAATTTATCAATTCCCTCTTTAATTAAAGAGGTTACCAGAATAATGGTTCTTTACAAATAGGTAGGCTCATTCTCAGACATTAGACACTGGTGGACACCCAGTTTGGGATATTAAGAATTCTGTGTCACAAACAGAATAACATAATGTAAACAAATTAGAAAATGATATCCTAATATGACATGACATCTAGATGCCATGTTTTAATACTGTAGGATTTTAGTATTTGATAAGATGGCTGCTTTCCATTAAAACAAATATTCATTCAATGTCAGAAAACAAATTGAGGATCTCAGATAATTCTGTTTACCATTCAAATTGTACATGGAGAAGCGATAGGAGAAATTGGCAATATTGGTTTCTTGGCGAAGAGGAGATTTCTTTACTGGTTCCATGGGCTTGTCTGTATCCAAACTCTAAAAAAAATATTGAGAAGAAAGAAAAGAAGCTAAAATAAAGTTTGTATTTAATATAACAGGGACTGTTGCTCCTACAACATTATAAATATGGATGAAAACTTAATTTTAATGGGAGAAATATAATCTAAAAAATGAGTTTTCTTTTGTAGGATTTGTACGAGAAAATATTTACCACTTTACAGAGATTAACCCCAACTTCCCAAGTAGGAGAGTTGGACATTCTGCTGCTATAGATCTAAAAGGAAGAAGAATATATTCTTAAATTTGTTCTTCTGTAGTACTGTTCTACCCTGACCATTTTGAAAGAATTACTTAACTGAGATTTTCTAGTTACCTGACTCAGTTTGATTATCAACATAATTTAGAAAAAAGCAAGAGGAAGAGGACTTTTAAAAGTAAATATTAGTAAATGTACAGTAAACTTCCAATAATACGGCACCTTTAGGACCCAGGGGGTGCCGGATTATAAAATATGCCAGACTATCGTAAGGGGGGGGAGGGAGAAGATGGGACGGCGCTATGGGACCAACCTAGCGCCCCAGCTGCCCTGCCTGGGGCGCCCCAAGTCAGCCGCTGCTGAAACTGACCGGTGGCTGACTTGGGGAAGCCTGGGGCAGAGCAGCTCCAATTGTCCAGCTGCCTGGAGCACTTTCGGGTTCCAGGTGGTGCCGGACTAGCAGGAGTGCCGGACCACTGGATTCCGGACAACTGGAGTTTACTGTAATTTGATAATTTCAGCATATGGACTATTACTTTTTAAATATTCTAGTTATGAAAGCAAGCTTCATTCCACCTTATGAGAAAAGAGTACTTGTGCATATATTGTCCATTATGGCTTTAAAAATACATGCTGACATGTAACAATACTTTATCAACTGATATGTGGCTAGAGATATTAAGATAGTATAAATATTTTACCATTATAATGAAAATGCTTAATATATTTAGTTAGCTTGTAAATTCATTTTCTGTTCTTTTTGCCAATTCGTGGCATAGTATACATTCCCCCCCTTTTTTGCAGTTTTGTGAGCCGTAAATAATCAGTTTCTGCAGGATTTAAGTCTTCTCCTTAGGGAGAATAAATTATTGCTATTCCCTACAACTGGGAAGATAACCACCTAAATGTAAACCGAATACAAATCAGTGATATACCACTGTCTTCCTCAGGCTGCAAACAGATGACTCTTGTATCTTTGCTAGTTTCCAGAGATTTCCCAAGCATCAGCTCAGTAAAAATGTGCCTTAGAATCACAGAATTATAGGACTGGAAGAGACCTCAGGAGGTCATCGAGTCCAAACTCCTGCTAAAAGCAGGAGCAATCCCAATTAAATCATCCCAGCCAGGACTTTGTCAAGCCTGGACTTTCTAGAGTTGGGAACTGGAGTTATTTGTGGGTGATGAGGACCAACATGGAAACTGAGAAGAGAGGGGAGGTTTAATTCCTCAGTATAAACCCATAGTCTCTGACCTATCATTAAGACCTTTTGATAAATCTCATTTGCTAAGCAAGCAAGTTTTGGTCAGGAGTCCCTACACTATACACAATACAGAAATCAAGAGTTACCAAATGACTATGTTTCCCATGGAAACGTATACAGATAGGTTCTAGTTAGGGATGTTAAATATCGGTTAATTGAATAGTCGATTAACCTCATGAATTCTTATTGGTTACTCGACTATTCTACAGGCCCGGGGGGAAGTGACGGGGGGGCAACCAATGCACTCAGGCCCCACTCCTGAGGAGCCCCCTGCCACTCTGAGCTGCTGCCTCTGTATCTGGGGTACCAGGGTGGGAGCTGGTCCACAAGCAGAGCCAGTTTAAAAAGCCAGCTCCCCCGAGTCAGCCGCTGCTGAAACTGACCGGTGGCTGACTTGGGGAAGCCTGGGGCAGAGCAGCTCCAATTGTCCGGCTGCCTGGAGCACTTTCGGGTTCCAGGTGGTGCCGGACTAGCAGGAGTGCCGGACCACTGGATTCCGGACAACTGGAGTTTACTGTAATTTGATAATTTCAGCATATGGACTATTACTTTTTAAATATTCTAGTTATGAAAGCAAGCTTCATTCCACCTTATGAGAAAAGAGTACTTGTGCATATATTGTCCATTATGGCTTTAAAAATACATGCTGACATGTAACAATACTTTATCAACTGATATGTGGCTAGAGATATTAAGATAGTATAAATATTTTACCATTATAATGAAAATGCTTAATATATTTAGTTAGCTTGTAAATTCATTTTCTGTTCTTTTTGCCAATTCGTGGCATAGTATACATTCCCCCCCTTTTTTGCAGTTTTGTGAGCCGTAAATAATCAGTTTCTGCAGGATTTAAGTCTTCTCCTTAGGGAGAATAAATTATTGCTATTCCCTACAACTGGGAAGATAACCACCTAAATGTAAACCGAATACAAATCAGTGATATACCACTGTCTTCCTCAGGCTGCAAACAGATGACTCTTGTATCTTTGCTAGTTTCCAGAGATTTCCCAAGCATCAGCTCAGTAAAAATGTGCCTTAGAATCACAGAATTATAGGACTGGAAGAGACCTCAGGAGGTCATCGAGTCCAAACTCCTGCTAAAAGCAGGAGCAATCCCAATTAAATCATCCCAGCCAGGACTTTGTCAAGCCTGGACTTTCTAGAGTTGGGAACTGGAGTTATTTGTGGGTGATGAGGACCAACATGGAAACTGAGAAGAGAGGGGAGGTTTAATTCCTCAGTATAAACCCATAGTCTCTGACCTATCATTAAGACCTTTTGATAAATCTCATTTGCTAAGCAAGCAAGTTTTGGTCAGGAGTCCCTACACTATACACAATACAGAAATCAAGAGTTACCAAATGACTATGTTTCCCATGGAAACGTATACAGATAGGTTCTAGTTAGGGATGTTAAATATCGGTTAATTGAATAGTCGATTAACCTCATGAATTCTTATTGGTTACTCGACTATTCTACAGGCCCGGGGGGAAGTGACGGGGGGGCAACCAATGCACTCAGGCCCCACTCCTGAGGAGCCCCCTGCCACTCTGAGCTGCTGCCTCTGTATCTGGGGTACCAGGGTGGGAGCTGGTCCACAAGCAGAGCCAGTTTAAAAAGCCAGCTCCCCTCGTGGATCAGCTGCCTGTTGCCCCGCACTGCTGCACCTGATAGAGAGGCAACAGTGCAGGGTGGCAGCAGCTCCTGGCTGGGAAAACGGTCTGAGCTCCTGGACCCTACACAAGCCAGAACTCAGCCAGGTTGTCTGCCCACCCACCTAATACACTTTAAATGCAAAGCCTCATCAGGGGTATGTCTCAGACCTGGCACAAGCCAGGACTGAGACAGCTTGCTGGTCAGCCTGCTAAAAAATTTACTGCCAAGGTGGGGGAGGGAATGCATGTAATCTATAGCATTAACCTATAAGCTTTTGCTTATCAGTTAATCAATTACTATTACATCCCTAATTCTAGTGACAGAAGCAGAACATGTTCTCACCTAAGCCTTTTGAAGGTGAACTGATGAGTTTCACCCAACTGCTAAAAATGCTGGTTGGCTATAGCAAACCAAAAGAAAAATATTGAAAGGAACCAAAACACAAAATGAGAGACTCCTTAACACCTTGGCCCTAGAAAGCAGGATATTCTAATGCTAACCACTAATGCAAAAATGCATTAATGCTAAATGGTATAAAGTATTGATCGCAAGTGCTACAGGGTTTAAAACTACATTTTGTAACATTTTTACTGGGATAAAGGTTTATGGGGGGCACAGTGAATCCAAAAGATCTCCTGGGCACCATAAAGTTTACATGTATCCTTTAAAAACTTTTCCATCTGGAAAAAATTACTACTTTGCAGCATAATAAATATCCAGTGAACTGGGAAAGAAAAATTTACACTTAAGTTCAGGGAAGACAGACTTGTTTTTCCATTGTTCCAATAGTCCAGCTGGAATAGAGCAAGGAATGCACTAGGAATGTGTGCAGGGAACTACTTTGGATTTCTTGCCAGCTCTAATTATGCTCATGCCAAATCTTAACTGTGACCTCAATCATGTTAAGGGACAATAACTTTTTAAGTAAATGGACAGAATGACAGTCAGATATGCCAATCTACTGATACAGATATAAAAGCATATGAGATCATTTAAAGTTTCGTATGAAACCCCACATGTGGAGCTGGGATAAACATTACTTTTCAGTACCTGTTAGAGATGGAAATGAAAACATTATGAAGTCATGGAATGCACTGGAGACAGCATTGTGAGCAATATGAATGTGGCAAAAAACACAGGATACTTTTCCCTTAACTATTTATTTCTAGGATTTTGAGACTTTGCCTGGGTGAGGAGGGTCCTGATGCAAACTTAACTATCAGATTGTTCCCATGAAAGCTCATACCACCATCTACATGTTTTGATAAGTCTTTAAGGTGCTGCTAGACTATTTGTTGTTTAAGCTTTTCTAGTAAATGTAATGTTTGTCTATTCACAATATGCCAATAAACCTCAAGTGTTTGGTCATACACTATGAAGCAAATGTTGTATGCCTCAAGTGAGTTATGTGATAGAAGGCTAAATATCTGTTTTGAGACTCCTCTGCCTTCATATGTCTTTGTGAGGCATTAATTATTAATCACTTATTAATGCAGCCAATGGCTTTGCAAAAGATTCCTATCTTGTTACTGTAACTTAGAGTAGGGAATTTGTAAACACAAGATTGTGAAATAAATTTGCCACTAACATCATTTTCTGTTCATCTAGGACTGAAGATTTTTCATTGCTCTTTACCCACAGGCTCAAAATTGAGAATATTTATTGCTTAAACAAAATTATGTAAAACACAACATGGCATTCATTTATAGGTAATATTTATCCATAAAAATATCCCTACCACCATAATGGAAGAGATATAAAAGGACAGATGCACTTGAGCATCATTTTGACAGAAAGAACAATTACTTACTCTACGATAAGTGCGATTCTTTCAGATGCTGTCAGTGTGAATCCCATAGTACATACACAAGAACATATTTGAACAGCAATATCTTTGCATGCACCCTGAGCTGCCTCATGCTCCAATGTGAGGACATTAAATTCAGAGCAGCTGAAACCTTCTCTTGGTTCCCTGCCTAGTCTGAAGTCCATGATAGCTGAAGGCTCCAAAAGGCAAGGGGAGGACGACAGATTCTAGGGTACACACTGACAAGAATGAACCCCAGTTACCACAAGGTAAGTAAAAGTTTTTTCTTTGAATGTGTGTCAGTGTGGATCCTACTGTAGGCTACTGATGAGCAGTATCCCTCTGGGATCATAAGATAGAAGGGTTTCTGATAAATCACTGAAAGAGTGATTGACGTAATGATCCCCCAAACATGGCCTCAGACTTGACCACGAAGTACAAAGAGTAACGTTTAATAAGTCAATAGATTACTCTGCAGTGCTATTTTGTAGATTTCTGATATGGGCACAGTCTTCAAGTGGAGGATTCTTTTTGAGATCTGGTTGGTATAAGTCTTAATGTTCAGTGGGAGAGATGCACAACACAGCTGATAACACAATACTACTATGTTACCCATTTTGTTATTTTCCAAAGAGAAGGCCTGACTTTTAGGATCCCAGAAATAGACAGGAAAACAAACTGAATGAATGGTTTAGTTCTAGCAATGTAACAAAGTAAAAAAGAGATATGGACTCGGTTAGTGTGCATTCAACTTCTTAACTTCCAATGTGCAGTGTGTCGTTTTGGGAAGAAGAGAGGATTGGTTGACTGGTTTAGATTAAATTCCGAGACCACCCTGGGTATAGATTTCATGCAGGCTCTTATTAGCACATTATCCCTATGAAATGTTATATGTAGGGGCGTACTGATAGACACTTGAGCCTCATTCACTTTTCTGGCTGAAGCAATAGCCACTAGGACAGGAGTGGGCAATAACTTTTGCCTGGAGGCCACTTAAAATTTTTTTGAAGTAGCCCCAGGCCGGACAGGGTGGGGCCTAATCCAGAAGGGGTGGGGCCAGAATGACTGTGGTCTTCCCCACCCCCAGACCATAATCGGACTGGGGGTGGGGGAGCCCCTTTGCACCCCCTTCCCACTAGGCACCCATTCCTTTGGTAGGGTAGGAAGAGGCTTCACACACTCCCCCGCCCCCAGGCCCAGATTGGCCTGGGGATGGGAGGGAAGGGGGGAGCAACGAAGCTTCCTCCCGCTCTACCCCTGCCCTGCGAGGAGCATGTGGCATTTCAAAGGGCCACACGCTGCTCACAGGGTGGAAGGAGACATCACACGCTCCCCTGCCCCCAAGTCCTGATTGACCTGGGGGCGGGGGAGCTGCGTGAAGCTTCCTTCGCCCTCCCCCCGCACTGCGCGAGTGTACAGTACTTTGAAGTGTCATGTGCTCCTCGCAGGGCCGGGGAGAGGGCAGCAGAAACTTCACATGCTCCTCCTGCCCCCAGGCCAATCAGGGCTTGGGGCAGGGAGCATGTGACGTCTCCTCCTGCCCTGTGAGAAGCATGCGGCCCTTCAAAGCACTGCGTGCTGCTCACAGGGCGGGAGAAAGCATCAGGTGCTCCCCCGCTCCCAGGCCCTAATTGGTAGGTGAAGAGGAAGATCCTCTCCAAAGCACTGCGTGCTGCTCACAGGGCGGGAGAAAGCATCAGGTGCTCCCCCGCTCCCAGGCCCTAATTGGTAGGTGAAGAGGAAGATCCTCTCCAGGCTGGATCAACCTGCTTGGTGGGCTGATTCTGGCCCAGGAAGGCCCTTTTGCCCTCCCCTGCACTAGAAAGACCATCTTCAGACGGAAATAATGCAAGGAGCAGTCAAAAAGAGATTCAAACAGACTCCAGCACTCTAAGGAGAATTATGTTGAGATTTCAGGCAGGAGTAGGGTCTCTGGTAAAGTATGAAACAGTACTCTGACAAACTTCGATACCTGTCTGGTACTCCTCTCCATTCTACACATTTACTCTTGTATGGCTCCTTGATGAAGATCATTTCTATCTGTAACACACTCTCATGAGGAGAGTCTCTGAAAAGGCATAGGGAAGAAAGGTGGATTGTGTTTAAGAAACAGAAATGTATAGGACAGTCTTAGGCCCTTATGCCCATCCGTTCACTATGACAGCTGCCCAAGCCTGGTGGAAAGAAGTTTCCTAAAGTGAGGGCAGGCTCCAGATTGGGCATGCCAAGAGATACATGAGCCATCAAATCGGCCCCATCTAAGAGGGACAGGAGTTGTCTAAATAGGGAGAGAAGCAGCATCTCCTGGGTCTTCATTTGTGAGTAACTCCAGCTATGAACCCTGCAAATAGGTCAGCGTCCTCTGCCTTTGCTGGTACTTGTGTAGTTTCCTACAGGAGACTATTTTGTAGATTTCCAGGGACCACGGTGTTGCTTTTTCTCTTTGGAATGCCAGTTTGGAGATTTCTTTACAAAGCTGGCTGGACAACCAGTTTCAAAGTCTGTAAATAGAATAAAGGGTTGGACACTCACTAGGTTCAGTCTTGCTGCAGTAGGTAATGAGAGAAAGGGCAGGTGAGCTCCAGGCTCCACGTGGCACTGCTGCTTTGAAGTACCCTCTCCCTCCCCCTTCCCCCCCGTGCTGCCTCTTTCTGATAGACTAGCATGTCAACTATCCGATTAGCATTTGCTTATCAGATAGTCAACTAGTACTTCACATCCTTAACTGACACACAGTCTAAGAACATAGGTAGATTGTCACGAAGGTAGCTAGGAGTGCTGGTAGCATAAAGTCTGAGGAGTCAATATAGCCAGATAATCCTGTTGTAAGTATGCCAATGCTTGAGATGATGGGTCATCTGGGATTTCCAGGTTTGTGTATCTTGGGTAGCAGATAGAAAACTCGTGGCCAGGGATTTGGGGGGAGGTAGTGTAAATTTGGTCTTGAGCAGTATTAGGGAGCTTCATGAGCAGTTGTTTCAGGTGTTTTTGTTATTCTTTAGTGGGATCACAGGCTTGTAGAATCCAGCATTGGTGTGTTGTCAGGTCACCTCCTGTTCATAATCTGTTCTGCTCCTGATGACTAGTGACCCCTTTGTCAACCTCTTTGATTATGATGTTAGATTTGTTTTTGAAGCTGTGTATAGCATTGTGTTCTGCATGACTTAGGTTATATGCTATTGTTTGCTGACAATGTCTGCTCAAGCACAAACATACTGAGACATTAAAAATTAAATGGGTAACACTGGTGCCAATCACTCACGGAGATATTTGATCCCCCTATTCAAGAAGGGTCCCTGACCTGTGTGAGTTTATCCAGCTCCCCAAGCCATGCCCCAAACATCTTATCCAAATCTTGATCTTCCTTATCACTATCTTCTTCTGCACCATGATCAAGCTCTTCATCTGATAACTGCTCCATCTGAAACACAAAGGAAATATTCCAGTCAAATTACACTCTGCATTCAAAAAGCAGGAACAAGGTCTCTTTGGAGGATTATATTAAACTATTTGGGAACATTCTTCAGGATTGTAGTTTAAGAAACTTACTAAGGATCTATCTACAAATGACATCACACTAGGAAACACCATCATTGAACAAAACCATGGAAAAAGTGTACTATTAAGTAAACCTCTCAGATATTTCTGAGAAGCTACCGAAACCTATGCAACAGGTAAACGTTTTTTTCTCTAAGATAGTATTAAGTCTGATGCACTTTCTGCATTAAGTAAATTTAGTTTCTAGTTTTACTCTCCCAAGGCTGGAACAGACACATATTCATATATTCATACACTCAGTAAATATGGTTAGATTGGAACCCCATGTAAAATGAACTGAAATAAACGTTCCATTTTGCTGCAGTGAATTTTAGTTGCCTTTCCCCTCTCTTTTGACTAATTTTTCTTGCTATCAACAAATTAAAAATGTTGGTTCAAAATTTGACAATTACAGTAAACTTTTCATTTCAAGGGAACTACTACTATTTATTTATTTATTAACCACTGAAGTGTTTGAATTTGTAAAAGACACAACCAGATTAGCAGCTACACCAGTTGAGCACCTGGCCTACAATAGCAGCAAAAGTAATCTCCTCAAACAGCTTACTACAACAAACAACAACAACAGATAAAGAGGACACAGAACCGAAGCCCAGCAGGCAGGAATCATTTAGGGGATTTTTTTTTATTATTAGTGCTATTCTTAACTTGCTTCTTTTGGGCATGCGAAGTCAATGAGTATTTAGGAAAGATGCAAATCAAAAAACACGATAGCACTAAGTGTGTAAGAGATCTTGGTGTGAGCTCTTTGTGTAAGAGGCATATGGCCAAAGGCAGAGACAGAATCAGCCCGTAGCAGCATGAGGCCAAAGCCCCAAGGCAGGGGATCTTCCCTGATCCAGCAAATTCTCTCATTCAGGACTGCTCAGGTTCCAAGGATGCCAGAACAGAGAGATCCAACCTGTATTACAGTATTTAGTTGAAATACTGTTCAAGTTAGGAGATGCAGACTTAAGGCTAGGCCTGCTCCCACTGAAGTCAATAGAACTTTAGCAATATTGGCTCATTATCAATGTCCTTCTCCCCTCATTCTAAGGCTACAGCCATTCCCCAACTTACGACCACCTCGACTTACGACCATCCGCACTTACGACCAACCTCGCAGCACGTTGTGTTTGCGTGTCTACGGTCAGGCAGCGGGTTTACATTTCATTCTCTCACAGTGTTTTCGGTGTTTGCTTGTGGCCATCATGTCAAGTAAAAGAAATAGGGCTAGTGATAAGGGTGGTGAGAAAAGAAAGAAAAACTATTGATTTGGAACATAAAAAAGCGATAGTGAGACAATATGAAGGGGCCAAACAGTGTCCTTCATGTCGCATAAGTTAGGGCTATCGAAATCCACTATCAGCACCATTATAAAGGATAGCAATCACATTCGTGAAGCAGTGAAAGGGTCTGCCCCTATGAAATCAAAAATTCTAGCAAAGCAAAGAGCAGGTCCCATCCTAGAAATGGAAAAACTCCTTAGTGTTTTGGATGGAAGACGAAATTGAGAAAAGCACGCCATTAAGTCTCATGACGATACAAACTAAGGCTCGTACTCTTTTTGAAGACTTAAAGAAAAAGGAGGGGTATGATTATGACCAAACTTTCACTGCCAATCACGGCTGGTTCAACTGTTTCAAGATGCGTGCAAACCTTCAAAATGTGAAGTTAAGTGGGGAGGCAGCCAATGCTGATTCGAAAGCAGCAGAACCTTTTATAGAAGAATTGAATAAGCTGATAAAAGAGGAAAAAATATTTTCCAGAACAGATCTTTAATGTTGATGAGACAGGTCTCTTTCGGAAGAAAATGCCTGAAAATACCTACATACATAAGGAAGCAAAAACTATGCCTGGTTATAAAGCTTTCACAGATCATCTAACAGTCTTGTTAGGAGGCAATGTTTCTCAGTATAAATTGAAACTCCTCTTGATTTATCGCTCTGAAAACCCTAGAGACTTCAAGAATATCAGCAAGGCTACTTTACCAGTCCATTATCATGCTAATAAAAAAGTCTGGATGACGCTTGCACTTTTTGAAGATTGGTTCACGAACTGCTTCATCCCTGAAGTCAAGTCATGTTTTCTGGAGAAAGGAATTCCTTTCTAAATTTTGCTTATTTTGGATAATGCTCCAGGTCACCCTCAATACCTAAATGACTTACATTCCAATGTGAAAGTGGTATTTCTGCCTCCCAACACCACACCTATTCTCCAACCCATGGACCAGGGGGCCATAGCTGCTTTCAAAGCATATTATCTTCGCAACACATTTGCAAAGGCAGTAGCTGCCACAGAATGCAAAAACGGCAAAACATTAGGGGATTTTTGGAAGGACTAAAACATTCTACATTGCATAAGGAACATTGCTGCAGGGTGGAAAGAAATCACTCCACAATGTATGAATGGCATATGGAAGAAAATCCTAAAGATTTGTAAACTGTTTCAAAGGCTTTGAAAAAGAAAAGGCACTGGAAGACATTTCTAACAACATTGTACAGCTGGTGAAAGAAATGGATCTGGAAATGGATAATGAAGATATACACCAACTGGTTGAGGATGTTGGGGAGGAGCTTAGCAATGAAGATGTAATGCAGCTCAAGTTAGAGAGGGTAGCAGAGGAAGACATACAAACATCCCAAGAAGAAGAAGCAGCCCCCAAAAACTTTGTGATGAAAGAAATGGCTGCAGCTTTCAGCAAAATAAATGAACGAATGCAAAAGACCCTAATGTTGCAAGATTCTCAAAGGTAGATCGTTTAATTCAGGACACCCTGGCTTGCTATAAGGAAATTTATAACAAAAGAAAAAACAAATTGTCCAGTCCAAAATGGATTTTTTTTTTAAAAAGAAAGTCCCCAGCAGCGCTACCTCCCATACTAAACCAATGCCTTCTACAAGAAAAGGAACTGCTGAAATAGAAGATGAATCTGTTGATGACGTTGTTACTGTAGTTTTTTTACTCCTCCAATTCCTCATCCAATTAATTCAATTCGCATCACTATATTTAAATTACTGCATTATGTTTTGTATTTCATGTTCATGTTTGTTAAATAAAAAGTTTGTTGTTGCTGCAGTAGTGTTGTTTTTTTCGTGGGTTTCTATTTTTCGTTGTTGATTGCTGTGTGGTTGGTGCTTGGTTATGCTTCGAGTGCTTTGTATGGGGTATTTCCGACTTACGAACAAATTGAGTTAAGACCAGCTATTCGGAACATAACCTGTTCGTAAGTCGGGGAATGGCTGTATATCCCAGCTTTTTTGTTGTTTTGTTTTTACAATTGACAATAGCTTACTTCTCCTTAATTTGGAGAAAGTGCTGACATCATTTGCTTGAAGTACAAGGACCTAGCTTGAGATGGCTGAAATTACTTTTACAACTTTGTCTGAAGACCTTAGACCAGGTTTTCCATACCACGGGGGAAGCCATGTGTTACCCACAAGAAATGGCATGCAGTATTCTCAAACAGATGTGCTTCCAAACCTTCAAAAAAAGCAAAACCAATGTACTATCCTACAGCACATAGAAAAATAAACTTATTTTATATAAGCATACAACAAATACATATACCAAGTTAAAATAGCATAGAAATAATAAACTTCAATGTTCATTATTTGCAAAATCGTGAAAAAAATGTTGAACCCGCAAAGACGACGCAGTATATTAATTATTAAAATAAATAAGTAGCTTAAAATAAGTGGGATCATAGTCTGAGTGTACTAGGGACTATTATACACTAAATTGCAAAGGTATGCATTATGTTACCAGATAGCCTCGTATTTTCCAAGCACTTCTATTACAGTATTTTTTCCATTAATGCAGTATCAAAGCACTCACTCAGCCAGTCTGTATAAGAGAGGGAAATTGCAGATATTGATTTTCTCAAAATAATCTTTTTGTCCACAAGTTACTGCAATCCATTTTTTAAAATGATACCTGGCAATTAATAGATTTTTTAAAAAATGAAAAGTAAGCAGGGGGAGTCACACCAGGCCTAAGCAACATTTTAAAGTGTGGATCCTTGAAGTTAGGCTTCTAATACAAAACTGAAAAAAAGGACGCTTCTATTTAATGGAACAGAGCAACTCTGACTGCATCAGTGGGAACTCAGCATATTTGAAATTCAGGCCACTTCTTCTTAAAGATTCTAAATGTGGATTTAGAGATCTAACTTTAGTACACAGATTTAAATAATTTTGGCCTTCATCACCTGCTCAGCCATGGCAGCAGTTTACAAGAGCAAAGTTTCAGCAGGCAATGAGTCTCCATTCTACCTGAGGAGGTGATACAACAAACAGTTCCTGAACCTTGTGGCAGTGGCCAAGTTCTTCAAAATGTTCATGTTTACTTATGTTGGCGCACAGGCCAATTTTTTCAGAGAGTGTAAGTAACAGAAGGGAAATGGTGATTTTCAACAGTTTACAATTCTGCTGAATCTGAATTCAATTTCATGGGACAAAAGGCTCTCTCTACACCAAATATCAAAGACAGAGGCACCAACTTAAATAGATTCTGGGGTACGCTCAAAGCCTGCTCCACTCCACCCGTACTACACCCCCTTCCTCCACTCTGTTCTTCCCCTTCCCTTCCAGCGCCCCCTGCACTCTGCTGAACAGCTGATCTGTTCTAGATCCATAAGGCTTTTTCCAGGGATGCTCCAGCCCCAGAGCACCTATGGGCATCTGCGCCTATGATCAAAGGTCTGCTACAAACAGGGGAGGTGTTATACCTTTTTTTTTAAAAAAAAAAATCCATTAGGATCTTGGAAGTTTGGAAGGGGAGTGGGAAGGGGCCAAGGTACACTTGCCATTCTTTATAGTTTAGTTTAAAGGTTTTAATCAAAACTTCCTGATTTAACTAGAAACCCTATCAATAACCTAAACT